ACCCACCCCCCTATCCCATCTTTCCCACCCCACAGCGATGCCAGAGAGGGGTTACCCCTTCAGCCAAACTTCACAGCTCATCCCTGATATCCCACCACTGACTTGGATGGGGTGAGCTTGGCTCGGCTCGGCCCCAGCACTCAGGACACCCAGGCTCTCTCCCAAAATTTGGGCTCACCTCTGTAGCTTTGATGTCCTCTGCAGGGAGTTTGCTGAAGAAATCATCCTCTAGAAAGGACCTGTAACACAAGCCTGGGGGTTAGCAGCATCACAGGCGAGCTCAGCAAGGGTGCAGGGAGATGCAGCGATGGGAGGAAGAGGGGACTATACAGGAACACCACAGCAGTCATATCACACAACACAGAAAATAAGGCTAAAATAGCACTGGGATAAAAGATAGTAGTGCTGGGACTGCTATATTTAATCAAGCAACTGTTCTAAGGGAGATCTGCAGAAGATGTACAGGGCTGGAGGCACCCAACTCTTGCTGGAAAGCTTCAGGCTGCGGGCTCCCAGGTCCCAAAGGCATCAAGGTAATGCCTTCTCAGGCGGTTGCTATCGGGTCAGGGAGAGAGGTGGAGAAACCAAGGATGGGGCAGGTCAGAAGGACTCAGGGTGCACAAAGAGGCTGTGTCTGAAAGGCACTCACTTCTTGCTGGCCTGCAAGCTGGCACCCCGGGCTCTCCCACCGCTGCTCCCGGCCGGCTGGGAAGCTCTAGCAGATTTAACAGGGGTTTCATCTGGAAACAAGACAGGCAGAGATTAGGATGATGGACCCGGGCATATTCCTGGCCTAGGCACTCCAAAGGGGGATCTGCTGTCTTCTCATGGACCACAGAGGCTTTTAATCAGAGAAGACCTTCATTTCACCTCCCCAAAACAATGTCCAACCTATTCAGTGGCCTCTGACTCTGGGAAACCCTGGTCTCCCTTCTGCTCCCTGCTTCATCCCCCCTCACAACTGGAGCCCAATGGCTGTGGCACCAGCACCTCCTGCTCCCAGGAAGGGAGGAAGACTACCAGGATGCTGCTCTTTCAGCTGCCAAGAAGGTTTATTTTACCGTCATATCCCAGGAGGTCACCAAGCACATCATCAATAGAGCCTGAAACGAGACAAATTAAAGGTGTTGAGGCAGGTGAGGTCACCAAGCAGGTGTAGAAAAGCTCCCAATTTCAACACAGCCTGCTCTTTTGAAGTCCTCCAGTATTTTGTGGAGTAAAGATCTGGCTTCACTTAGTCAGAAATGGGCTATCTCTATCAAGTGAACCAGCTGCTTCTATTCTGACAGTCACTGGCCACAAGCAGCACTTAAGCTGTGACCTCTGACCCCGCAGTATCTCAGAGCCCCTCGGCACCCCCAGAAGCACAGCTTCAGCATCAGGGGCTGCGGGGGGACTCTAAACAAGCAGTTAGGGAGTAGGTGAGAGGAAGAACTGAAATAAATGCATATATTTTCCCCTGGATTTGTGAAAGCTCACAAAAAGGGAGTATAGGACCCCAATAAGCAAATCCATTTGATGTGAGAGACGGGTGAGTATCTGTGGTTCAGGAATGACACAATGCACTCATCTTTCAGACAAGGACCATGAAATATCTCAGTGCCACTTGAGATCCCAGTGTCCCCTCTCCTTTGTCCCAGAAGACCAAAGCACCTATGGACAGGGAAAGGCAAGCACAGGAGCGTACATACCTCTTAAACTTTTCTTGGGTTTTGTAGCCTATGGAGAAAGACAAATTCTCTTGTTAGAAAACAAAGCAAGTCTGACCTGGACTCTCTCAAAAGACTAAAGCCAGAGACAGGCTTCTCCAGAGAATCCCACAAGCAACAGCAAAGCCTTCCTCCCGCCCACAGTTTGGGAAAGGGCATGTGAAACACAGTGAAACCACAGAGATACGTACAACTCGAGACACCAGCGAGCACAGCCCCCCTGACTGCCAGCTGGGCAGAAGCCTCCAGCCCTTGAGATCACTTCTGCCTTCAACAGAGGTGCCAGAACATCAAATTTGGATTCCCCAGGCCTGCCTTCCTACCGTATCACACTCACCATCACAGGATCCCAGCCTTCCTCTGCTCCAGCAAGTCCATTTATAGGTTCATCGAATCTCCACCTCTGTGTTGCGGGGGATCTAACGCCATTAGTCACATCGACACCAACCTCCTACCTGTGGGGGAGAGGAAGGTTTCCCTTTTTGCCCAAGGGGTGGCTCCTGCTCTGCCCAAAGCCTGGAAAACACCCAGGGGAGCTGGCGCTGGGGAGGGAAGAGAAGGAGGGAAGAAAACCTCATCTCTTTGGGTTGGGACCACCCAAGGGATCTTGAACGGGTGGGATGGCTGCGGGGGCCACGCAGAAAACCAAGTGGTGCTGGAGATGAGGGGTGCATGTGCCTCTCGGGGTGCGAGCAGGACAGAAGCACTGAATCATTTAGGTTGGAAGGGACCTTTAAGGTCACCAAGTCCAACCATCAACCTAACACTGCCAAGTCCACCACTAAACCATGTCCCTCAGCACCGCATCTACATATTTTTTAAATACATCTAAGGATGTCGATTTCACCACTTCCCTGGGCGGCCTGTTCCAATGTTCAATAACCCTTTCAATTAAGACAATTTTTCCTAATCTCCAATCTGAACCTCCCCTGGGGCAGCTTGAGGTCGTTTCCTCTTGTCCCATCGCCTATTGCTTGGGAGAAGAGTCCAACCTCCCCTGGCTACACCCTCCTTTCAGGGAGTTGTAGAGAGCAAGAAGGTCTCCCCTCAGCCTCCTTTTCTCCAGGCTGAACACCCCCAGCTCCCTCAGCCTCTCCTCAGGAGACTTGTGCTCCAGACCCCTCACCAGCTCCGTTGCCCTGCTCTGGCCCCGCTCCAGCCCCTCAACGTCTTTTTTGTGATGAGGGGCCCAAAACTGGACACAGCCCTCGAGGTGGGGCCTCACCAGCGCCCAGTCCAGGGGGACAACCCCTTCCTAGGATGAAAGGACCCCTCCCCACCCACCGGGTTTCCCACCATGGAGGTGTCCCCCCCCCTCCCCGACTCCACCTCCTTGCATCCCGTTGC